AGCATTCATTCAAAATGATGAAATAAAAACAACAATTTCCAGATTTTTTTGCTTTATTTTGTTTTTCTTTCTCATGGTATTGACTGTTGACATACGTTAATAGCAGATCCTAAAACACCTCTCACCTCCGTCCTTAACACAGAAGGAAAGGGAATGAATTCGGCTTCCGTCTCAACACTAAACATCACTCTACCTACCATCACTGTGAAGTTAGGAGAACGAAACTATGCTTACTGGAAGTCACAAGTTCTTCCTGCACTGAAAGCTTACGAGCTAGAAGGCTTTGTTACAGGTGATAAACCTTGTCCTCCTACCTTTACTATCTCTAAAACTGATGAATCAAAACAGGTTGTTAATCAAGAAAAATTAGTATGGAAAAGGATTGATCAATTGTTATTTAGCTGGTTGATATCTATCATTTCAGAAACTATGTTCAGGCATGTTGCTAATTGTGAAAAAACATTTGATATATGGCACACATTAGAGATGCATTTTCTAATAGATTCTACGGCTAGGATCTTACACTTAAAGAATCAATTACAAACGACCAGGAAAGATAGCTCTAGCATAAACGATTATGGTCTTAGAATGAAAGAAATTGCTGATTCTTTGACCACCAATGGTGTGGTTGTAATTGATGAAGAGTTGCTTTTATACATTCTTGATGGACTTGGAACTGAATATGATGCAATGGTAGCTACTTTAACTGCTAGGAGTAGTGAAGTATCATTTCAGGAAGCACAATTCCTGTTACATAAGCACAAAATGAGATTGGAGAAACAACACTCTGCCTATATAGGCTTTCATGAAGCCGTTACCTTCTCGGCAAACAAACAAACTTCTAACTCTCAACTGACCACGTCAATGTTGAACACCTCAAGACAACAAACAAATCAACCTATAGACCCTCACTCCCAAAGGCGACAAGAACCTAAACACTCCTACCTAACTACTCAAAATTTTCAACCTTTTAATCCAAATTTTGGCAGAGGTAGATGAAGAGGTCGAAACTTTTACAAACCTAGATTATTTTGTCAATTGTGTGGGAAGAATCGACACATGGCTTTACAATGCTATCATCGCTTTGACATCTTCTTTCAAGGAAATCAGAACCACCGACCATAATTTGGAACATAGTATAATACCTCACAACAACATACTTAATCCACAACTCCTGCACAAGTGTTCTTTACAAACGCTCAGCCTGGTTACTCGAATTACTTTCCAAGTCAATCTTACCAGACTTCTTCACCTATGGCACATCATCAGCAACTCTTTCAGAACAATACTCCAGTAAGCTCTCCTTTTTCTGGACCAAATATGTCACAGTAGTACTATGGACACTCAGGAGAAAGTGAGTTGAAAAAGCAGACTGCAACAGTTCATCCAAATTAGATAGCAACTCCTCTAACAGTTTCGGATTCGAATTGGTTTATTGACTCAGGTGCCACTCATCATATAACACTTGATCTTTAAAATCTCTCAATCAAAAATCAATACACTGGAGCTGAATCTCTACAAGTTGGGAATGGGTAGTGCCTTGACATCTCCCATATAGGTTTGACTATCTTACCTTCCTCTTGTGTGAACAAATCTATTCAACTTAAAAACATACTATGTGTTCCACATGTGACTAAGAACCTACTGAGCATTTCTAAAGTTACAAGAGATAATAATGTGCTAGTTGAGTTCTCTGCTGATGATTGTGTTATAAAGGACAAGACTTCTCAGGTTGTGCTTCTTAAAAGATCCTTACACAATGGTTTGTACCAACTCGACATCCCAAGTGGAAATGGGACTTGCCAACAACAAAGATCTACCTCGTTACAGTCTTCTCATTTACAACAATCACAAGCTAAAACCTCATTTTTTGGACTTTCATGCTTACATAATTACACTAGACATCAAGACTCTAGAGATGTACCCGCCATAGAAGGAAATAAAGGCCAAGCTCCAACATTTGTTAGTGAAGGAGATTTATGGCATAGGAGATTTGGCCATCCTCATGTCTCTGTCCTTAACTCTCTTGTACAAACATTGAATGTAAAAGGACAATATTAATAAAGTTTAGTTTTGCGAAGCTTGTCAATATGGCAAGGTTCACCAAAACTCCTTTCCTTCATCAAATTCTCAGGCAAGTAAGCCATTTGAGTTGATATATGCCGATGTTTGGGGACCTACCCCTATAATTTCAGCTACTGGATTCAAATACTACTTGCTTCTTGTTGATGATCATACTAGATACTCCTGGATTTATCCCCTCAAACTAAAATCAGAGGTAATCTTAATTGTCAAACAGTTCATACAACTAGTAGATCAACAATTTGACAATAAAATAAAAACATTTCAGTCATAATGGGAGGAGTTCAGACCTCTTGCCTTTTTTTTTGCTCTGCAAGGGATCCATTTTTGGCATCCTTGTCCTCATACGCATCAGCAAAATGGAAGGATTGAATGCAAACATCGCCATGTTACTGAAATGGGACTCACATTGCTAGCACAAGCCTCCATGCCACTGCAATTTTGGTGATTTGCATTCCACATAGCCGTATACCTGATTAACAGATTACCATCATCAGTTTTACAACATCAAACTCCTTTCTACCTTGTGTTTCACAAATTACCAGACTATAAGGCTTTTCGCATCTTCGGTTGCCAATGCTTCCCTTTTATTAGACCATATCAAAAACACAAGTTTGCCTTTCATTCTGAGCAATGTGTCCTCCTTGGTTATGAACAAATATTTCCTTTTGCTAAAGATTTTTCTATACAACATACTTCAGAAACGGAGGCATCTTCCATGTCACCTTCATCTCAACCTTGGAAGCTTCCTGTCAACGTTCCTAATCAGAATGTTTCTTCCACAACACCTTCAACAGAAAATCTGTCTGCCAGGTCCACCTCTCAATCCTCGACTCTACCTTTAACACTTGAAGTTGACCTCAACTCTTACACCTCTCAAGTATCTTCTTCCCAAGTTCGGCCTACCACCACAATTGTCCAGAACACACACCCTATGATTACCAGAAGAAAAGTAGCAGCTCTTGTTAGTACCCTCACTCCTGACTCCCATATAGAAGCTACCAGTACAATATCAACTTTAACTAATCCTCTTTGGGTGCAAGCTATGACTACTGAGTATGAAGCTCTCCAACATAACCAAACTTGGTCTCTGGTTCCATACACCGAGGATATGACCCTTGTTAGCAATAAGTGGGTCTATAAGGTGAAACTAAACTCTGATGGTAGTGTTCAACGTTACAGGGCAAGACTTGTTGCCAAAGGATTCCATCAAATTCTAGGTGTTGATTACTTCGAAACCTTTTCTCCTATAATCAAAGCTTCCACCATCCGAGTCATTTTATCACTTGCGGTCAGCCATGGTTGGGAAGTTCAACAAGTTGATGTTAATAACGCCTTTCTCTATGACGACCTTACTGAATCAGTCTACATGCCTCAACCAGAAGGCTTTGTTGATCCTTACAAACCTCAGCATGTATGTAAATTGCACAGGGCACTGTATGGTTTAAAACAGGCACTGCGTGCTTGGTATGACAAACTAAAGGCTGCTCTGTTACAACATAATTTCATGAATTCTATCTCTGATTCCAGCCTCTTCTATTATCATCATGGTAGCAAAGTTGTTTACATTCTTGTTTATGTCGACGATATCTTACTAAAAGGAAATGACAATTCATTAATTCAACAAATAATCACCAACTTGGATAGCACGTTTGGTCTCAAAATTCTTGGTCCTATTAACTATTTTCTTGGAATTTCAGTAGTTCAGACTAGTCATGGAATGCTTCTTAATCAGAGCAAGTACACTCAGGAAATTCTACTTAAATATGGCATGACCAACTACAATCCTTGCTCTACTCTAATGATTCTTGGATCCAAACTTAGCCTTGATGATAGTCCTCTGTTTGAACACCCATCTGTCTATAGAAGTCTTATTGGGGCCTTACAGTACCTCACCATGACTAGACCTGATCTCTCTTTTGCGGTAAACAAACTGAGTCAATTCCTCAAGGCACGAACTCTTAACCACTGGCAGGCCTGCAAACATGTTCTTCACTATGTTAAAGGGACCTTACACCATGGTCTAACCTTTAGTAAAGGTTCCAGTCTACAGCTTAAAGGGTATGCCGATGCTGACTGGGTTGGTAGCCCATATGATCTTAAATCTACCAGTGGCTATTGTATCTTCCTTGGCTCCAACTTGATTCAATGGTGCTCCAAAAAATAGCAAGTGGTTGCCTTATCCTCCACTGAGGCAGAATACCGTGCCTTGGCACATGCTTATACTAAGATTGCTTGGCTTCGGAACCTACTTCAGGAGCTCCATGTCTCTATTCCAGGCCTTCCCATTCTCTGGTGTGACAACACAAGCGTTGGAGCTCTAGCTTCTAATCCCGTTTTCCATGCTCGCACCAAGCACATCGAAATTGATGTGCACTTTGTGCAGGAAATGGTCCAAGCTAAACGCTTAGTTGTCTAGTATGTTGCTTCCACCTTTCAAGTTGCCGATATTAGACCTGACAAAATAGGTGGGTGGGCTGGGTCTAAACGGGTATGAGTCAAATGGGTACGGGCCCAATACGGGTCCAATATTTTAGACTCGTACCCTACCCTATACCGGTACCGGTGGACCAACGGGTACTCGTTTTTTCTCTCTCCAGATTTTAATTTTTACAGTTTCACTGCCAATAGTTTTCAATTATGACAATTACACCCCCAAAATTCTTGCAATTTTAATTTTTTACATTTACACCCCCTAAATCAACTACTCTAAATGCAATTCAATTTAGAATATAAACAAATAGGAACCAAAATAAACAAATAACAAATAAACAAACAATAAAATATAATACAAAACTACAAATACCAACCAAAATAAACAAATACATAATCATTAATACATAATTACACATAAACAAACAAAACAAGTCAATAAACTATAAATACCAACTAAAATAAACTAATACATAATCCAATATTCAAGAAAAAACATTCTTAGAAGGTTGGTTAGAGTTTTCAACTAAAAGGTCCCTTATCTTCTCATTGTAAACCTCCAACATGCTAACAAATAGCTCATATCTCATGACACTAGTTCTGTCTTTGGAAATATGAAACAACTCCTTTAAAGTTCTGTAGTTCACTCCTCTATTTTCAGGTGTACCTTCCATTGTAAATGTCTTCCCAGTTCTAGTTTGTCCATATGCAAATATGCAGACATTATAGCCATCCAGTACTGAAGTCACAATAGGTTTAGTTTGTGCAAAACCAACCTCTGCATATATTAGAAACCCAGGATTAAATATTTAAATAGTTCAATATCCATTATAGCAATTGCTTTGCATTGTAAAAATCATTCATGAGATCAGGGATTACCTTGATTGTCCTCGGGCTTAAACACAATATCAAACTTGAATTGCTTTTTAGAAGAATCAGAAGAAACAATTTGTAGCTCATTTTCTTGAGAAGAGTCAAATTCAACAACAGAATTGGACCCATTAGTAATTTCAGCTTGATTTAAAGGTCTACATCGGCAGAAGACCCTAATATTGCCTTTCAGCTCAATCACTTCATTGTAAAGCCACTTTCGTTTGGAGGACTCATCTATGTATTTCTTTTTTAAAAGCTCATATTCTTTACCTAATACCAAAAATAGCAATTAAAATCACTAAAACAAAAGAAAGAAAAAAAGGTGAGAAACAATTGCCAAAATCAGTATCTGATACTGACTGAGATTTTGAAGATTGTCTAAAACACCAGGGCCAGGAAAACAATCAGTATTCATGTTCTTCACTTGATCTGAAAGACTTGAGCAATCTCTCTTCAAATCCTATAACATAAAGCATCAACATTAATCCTGAAACCAATAAAAAAAACAAAAACAAAGAGAAGACTCTAAATTTTACAAAACTTGATACCAAGCAGAGCAATTACCTACACTAACAAATAAACTGAACACAAATAGTTCATTTTCTGAAACTCAATTGCCTAAAATAAGACTAAACTATCCTACTTATGTCAGCAAGAAGTAAAGTGAAAGTGATACAAGAAGCGCCATTTTACTTGAATCTTATTGCTCAAACATATAATCTTCTGCAATATTGGAAGGGTTGGCCCTTGAGCTGGACAAATATCTCGGTTTGTGTTCGATAAACCATCCTCATCCATGAAATTGCTACTCTCTTCAACTAGCTCTAAAGCAACAACAAAACCCTAATATAAATATTCAAATGACAGAAATAAAAGAAGCAACAAATAAAGTAGTCAAAACCCTCACTTCGGTCACTAAAGATCTTAAAAAATAATGTTTTTAAATCACATGATTTCATCTTTTAGAAACCCAATTGAACATTAAACGAGCTCAGTAGCCGATCTCAGTGGTAACAAAAACAAGAACCAACTCCGTCAATCATGATGTTATCTTTCAATAATTATTCTATACAAAACATTAATGGTTGAAGAAACACAGTCAAATCTTCCCTATCAAGATTGCATATTTCATTGTTCACTTCACAACATTAGTAACAATTTGTAACCATGTCAAAGGAGGAAAGAAAATCATAACAAATACAGCTGAAATACCAGTAAATTTCTAGGCTTAACAAAATTTAAAGATAAGAAAATAAAAAGACGAAGATTAAGCTTAGTAAGGGTTCAATATGATAACAAAAGCTCATAGAGATTTTGGTTATCAGCACAAGAATCACAACCTATCCAAACATCTCGGACCAATCCAATCAAGGTCTCAGGATGGAGTCTCACATCTAAGAACATCTAGTGTAGCTCTAAAACTCATAAATTTGAACATTTTTACACAAGTACATACTGCATACCCTTAATGATAGAGTCTTGCGATGGAGAGAGACAGGAGATGATGAGTCGACGCACGACGACAACAGGGAGAGGAGATGACGGGTCGACAAGGATGAATGACGGCGATCGGTGATGGTGGGTCTGGGAATGGGATCACGGTTCACGGATAAGAGTGATGACTGATGATGACAGTGATGACTGATGATGACAGTGATGAGAGTCTACTGAAGTGAACACTGAACAGAATGATGAGATGAGAGATTGAGATAATGAATCAGTGACAGTGATGAGAGATTTAGAGGCGCGAGAGAGAAGAGAAAGTTTGTTTTAGAGTTGGGTGGCGTTAGTGCCTTAGTGGGTTAGGGACTTAGGGTTCAGCTTTGAAAAAAACGGGTACCTGCGGGCACCCATGGGTTTACCCGTGTAACTCGTCAAAAAACGGGTCGGTCTGGGTACGGGTGAAAATTAAATGGGTCCAACATATTAAACCCATGCCCTATATTTTTTACCCAGGTACGGGCTGACTCGCGGGTCTGGACCCGTTTTGTTAGGTCTAGCCGATATCCTTACCAAACCTCTCTCCAACTCTAGCTTTCGCACTCTTTGCGATCAACTTCGTTTCTCTGTCTCTCCCGAATTTGAGCTTGAGGGACGAACTGACTATCCTAAGCAAACTTCAAATTCTAACTCAGTGTTAGAGTCAAATTCAGCTAAGAGAGAAATAGACAAAACAGAAAGAGGTTGACAAAATAAGCTAAACTGAGCTAAGATTGTGCTTGAGGGACAATGTTGAAAAAAAAAAATTTTTTTCGTTGCTGAGTTTAGCTTGAGGGATGATGTTGATAGAAAAGGTTTCAAGCTTCAACTCAACCAATGGTTTATAAGAAGCACACCACCTTTCTTCTCTGCTCAAGTATGATTTTCATGACTTTGGAAATGCAACTTGTAGAATCAACTTGCACTCTGTTAATACAACTTGCTGAGCAACTTGCGTTCTGTTAAAGCAACTTGTTAACCAACTTGCATTCTGTTAATGCAAGTTGTTGAGCAACTTGCATGCAATTAATGAAACTTGTTAACCAACTTGCATGCAGCAGAGAGAGCATGATCTTCCTGTTATGATCGAATGGTGAAGAATGAATAGCCTTTGTGTTTGTTTGTATTAGCATGAATGGTGTAGATATAAGTTGACAAGAATTTGTATTCTACCTTTGGATATATAAGTCATAATAGTGCCACTGTAGCAGTCATTCAAAACGATGAAATAAAAACAACGATTTCCAGATTTTTTTCTGCTCTGTTTTTTTTTTTCTTTCTCACAATGAATGTATTTGTTATGGTTTATTCTATCACTCATACAAGAGAATAATGATTTTATATATTAGGTTATGAAGAGAATAATACAACTAAGATCCTTATTCCTAAGCTCAACCCTATTAGGAGTTCTAATATTTAAAGAATCCTAGAGTGGCTATACATGATATAAACCCAAACTGCTTACGAGCCCGGGGCGCTTCCCTTTGAGACCCTCACTCACTCTTCGGGGGACTAGGGGGACCCCGTGTACATCATGCATACTAGCTATGACTATACATGATATAAACCCAAACTGCTTACGGGCCCAGGGCGCTTCCCTTTGAGACCCCCACTCACTCTTCGGGGGACTAGGGGGACCCCGTGTACATCATGCAGACTAGCTATGACTCAAAGCTGCCCAGCTACGACCTCTATTGTTGAAGTGGTCACCAACTCCAACACACACCACTCCAATATCATGATTTCATGACATGGTACATTAAGAGAAAATCGAAACATTTTAATAGTATATTGTGATTTTATACATTAACTCCTAATATGAAAGTTCCTTTCGTAAATAGTAATTACTCCCTCAAATAAAAATTTCTCATTCCTTCACCATCCCTATTCTTGCTCTTCTCATGCAGCCAAGCGGGCCAACCGGCGATTGGTTCTAGTTTTCTCATATTGAAAAGCCTTACAGGAATCACTATTCATAAAGTCATGTTTGACATGTTAGCGTAAGGGTAAGTACATATCTGCGTACATATGCATGCACTTTCAATTAATATTTTGTTTAGTGGATTACATTTTTCTTCCATTGGAACAAATCTTCTTGCGGAAAAATCTTTTATATATATGCGGCCCGGGTCATTCTTTTTTCTCAATTTTAGTCACAAATATAATGGTGGATTTTAAAATAATTATTTATGTGACATAAATTAATTGATTTGACATTGAGCCACTGAAACATGTATATCTAATATGTGTCCAATGTACATACACATACATGACAAGTTTATTGTGGTCACAATGAATCTATCCAATGTTACATTCTCAAATTTTTGCAAGTTGAACTTATACTTTTACGGTGTATTTGGTTTAGGGAATATTATATTAATGAAAATATAGATTATCTTGAAGATTATTGAGAATATTTAGGGAAATGTGTTTGGTTAGTTAGAATAAACTGGTGAGTATATTATATTGATATGTTTGGTTGGAAGAAATAAATTGGTGGGTATGTTATATAATTTACTAAATTTTCCTCCTTTTTAAATATTAATATAATATTATTTTTATTATTATTTTTTGAATAATTTCTTTTAACCCCTTATATTTCAGATTTAGCTAAAATACCCTAGCAACAAAAAAAGTTTAAAACTTAATAAAAACACCCAACTCACCCCGAGCCGCTACTAGCGGTGTGTCACCACCACTGGCGGTGGCGAAAGTGGCGATCTGGCTGTGAAAGGCCAGATATTTGGCCGTGAAATGACAGCCGTCTCACGGCCAAATATCTGGCCTTTCACGGCTAGATCGCCACATATTTGGCCGTGAAACAACTACAGATCTAATCGTGAAAGACCAGATCTGACTGTTTCCAGCCATGGATTAGTGATCCATGGCTGGAAATAGCCTTATCGGATATGGCTGGTCGTGCGCCATTGAATTTTGACGGCTATTTCCGGTGACTGGCGGTGGTGGCCAGATCCAGCCACCACCCTTGGATAATTTTATATAATTTCAAGGGTATTTATGTCCTAAAAACTTTGTATATAAGGATAAAATAGTTAATTGGTATTTTTGTAAATTATTTTTAAAACAAGAGCATTATTGTCCTAAAATTTTATTAATAAGGGATAAAATTATAACAAAAATAAGATAACCAAATAATATTAAAATACCTAATAAAATGGAGGTTATTAGATTACTTATATTACCAATAATAACTATTGTTGGTATTGAAAGATTACTAAAATTTTATATTACTTGATAACCAAACATTATAATTAAGTAATATAAGGTGACATTACCTTAGTAATCTTATATAATCTCCGACTAAACGCAACCAGCTTGTTTTTACATTAGAAAGTGAAGTCAAAAGGCGGTATTTTAACTCGATATATATGAACCGCTGACTACATGATCAACGGTTCATATAATTCATCACATTTTAAATACCCTCATAATTTTCTAAGAACTAGGACAAAAGTCCAGGGCTTAATTTCTTCTTTACCCATTTCTTCATCAACCATTCTGCCGTAAATCTCAAACAAAGAGTCTAAGCTCCCTTCTCCTACTCCAAAATGGTGACGGATCATTGATTCTTGAATAGCCCTAACTGTCGCCGCAACAGCATAGCCATGTCTATCACCATAATCTTCCTTCTTTATGTGAAACATCTGAAGCTGGTCTAGTTTGAACGATCCTTCTCTCCTCACTTCCTCTTCTATTTCATCTTTTGATGGTGCATAAAAGTTCACATCGTAAGACTCAAGCTTTTCTTTCTCTATTTCTCCCTACATAAAACAAAAATTGCACAATGATAACGCGCTTAAACATCAACACTCCAAAATATATTCTTAGTTTGAGACGTATTGAGAATTTATGGGCACCTGAGAAGCCAAGATGGCTAGGGATCGTGAGAGAAGTTCCCAGAAGAATGAGTTGCCCCTGTCAACATGATCAGGACCTGCTCTTCCTAATAAGATAAGCACCATTCGACCTCCAACGACTAATTCTTCGGACCTTGATCTAAGGAACGTGGAGAAATCTTCTTGAAATTGATTAAAATATGCATGTAACACTCGAGGAGGGCTGGATTCAGAGATATAAATGTTGCCTTTATTTATTGAATCGCCATGGTCGTTGTAAAGGGCTGGAGGAACCTGCATAACATAGTGATACTTGATACACGCGTGATCTAATTTGCATGGTGCTTGACCCTGGCTTAAATTGAATAACAAGTATATGAAAATTAAGAGAGTGGTTTTGTTTCATTTAACCAAATAGGGATTCCAAAATTATGATATATATTCAGAACTTAAGTGCATGCATGCTTACACTGATAAAATCAAAAGAGAAGAATCTGACCTTTGATAGCCAGTGAACACTGTAAGATGAATAGATAAGATGCAAGGAGTTGTTGGGAAAGAGTCTTCCATAAAAAGATCCTGGATAACCTCCAATATATATGTGGGGAGATCCACCACTTCTTTCTTCCCTAAGCTCTCTAACAAAATCTGGCAAGGCCTTAAAGATCGAGTTGAAGTCATTTGTTGAAAGATCATTAAGATAAACGTGAAACTCTGGGTCTGAAAGCATGAATTTACGACAAGTTCCTTCAACGGTTTCAACAACATCTTTAATCATTGCTAGTGTATTGGATCCAGAAGAGCAACCCAAATCAGCTATGCATAACGTCTTTGTAGTTATTTCAAGATAAAGTTGTTGTAATGTTTCTATGGTTACGTTCTTCACCATATCGGATGCCTTCTTCTGTTGGAAGAAAATAAGAAACAGTTACAAAAGAACAAAAGAGCAGGTACGACTCTTGATAGAACTGGAACAGTCATGCAATCACCAAAATAAGAAATAATATATGTATCAAAGAAGTGAAAAATAGAGAGGGAGAGGATGATGAAACCTGCAAGGAGGAATTTTTAGCATAGCTAGATGGGCCAGCCCCTCCTGTCATATGAAAGAGTTTCTCCACATCCATGTTGATTAGTTTTCAAGCTTTCTTTGGCTCAGTTATTGTTGTGCTTTAGTCTCCTTTTAAAGGGAAAATTCAACGATGGAATGGCATACTTTTTTGTGTTATCTTAATATATATTACTCATCATGGTGGTTCAAGTTACATTTGCTTTTATGTGGCATGATGAGTATACAGTTGTAGTTGGCCAAAAAATGAAAAACCTAATCTTTAAACTTTAGTAACGCTTCTTTTGGCTTGAGTAGGTTGTTTGGTTTTATGGCTCCTCCTTCTATCAATATGCATGAATACTCGTCCCCCCACCTCAAAAAAGGAAAGAAAACCATTCAGAGCTGTGTTGGATTCCATTTACGATAAACCAAACGCTATACACACTATAAGAACAAACAGTGTTTATATGATAGATATGGATAATAAATTGAAATTGAAAACTTGAAATATAAAATATATGCATAGTAAAGTTGATTATTTAAGTTCTGCGAGTGAAGGTTTTTGTTGGCCATTTTGTAAATTAAGTGAATGATGAAAACGAGAACAGGAGTGTTTGATATTGATGAATGATAAGATTCAAAGTTTGTGAGTGGCGTGTACTATTGCATTTCATTTGGTCTCCTACTTTTTCCAGTTCCACTTGCTGGGGATACATATCTTTCAGTTTATCAAATCAATGTTTACTTTAGTTGGATTCTCCATATTCTTTCTTTCTCTACATTTTCTCATTTATACACCAGTATATCTGGACACGTGTCAACAATGTAAATAAATGTTATCATCTAGGTCCACCAATTAATGTACTGGAATCCACCCACTCACCTTCAATTTCATCAAATTATATATTTTTTTTTATAATTGGGGTGTTTAATTAGGTCAGTCTACGCATACGTTAACTAATTATTAGAGCCTATTGAATACCCTATAAATCTAAAGGACCAAATAAGTCACAATATTGTTATGACAGGTAACCTTAAGGTTTAAACTCAAGAACTCAAGGAAGGGAACAAATTTTTTTGAGCGTCGAGCCAACCCCTTAGGGTTGGCATTGTAACCAACCTTTTATTTAGCCCCATAAACAATTTCATACAACTCAATTGAGGACTCTCAAGTATAAAGCCAGTTATAGTTAAACTCAATTAAAACTCTAATACTACCATTCTTTAGCTTTTATCATCATATCACTAGTCACTGCGCACCATTATAATTTCAAACCAATTCCAACGACTAAGAGTAAGAGAATGAGTCAATATTCAGAGTAAGAGAATAAGTCAATATTCGCCACCCTAAAGAAAGTGTGTCATATATTATTATTCTTATTATTTTATCATTTGATGTGTCACGCGTATCTCAACTAATCCTTTGAGGTCCTAAAATTGTCAATCAAGTTAGAACTCCATTAACCATCCCTATTAGTGTTTGGGGGGACTTGAGAATTCAGGAGTTCATGAAACTTCCTCTTACTTTTTTAACATCATGCCACTAAGTGGTAGTTAGTCATATATTACTCTTCTTTTTGTCTTACAACATGTTAAAACTTATTTTATTTTTCTCTTTATTTCTCAATTTTA